GCCTGGAGGTAAGCCAGCCCTGATTACTGAATGAATCTCACCTGAGAGAAATCAGGTGATTCCAGTATAAAAGGAGCAGGAAGTTGCAGCAAATGGAGAAAACTGTAGCTATCTATAGGGCTTGTGTGAGATCCTAAGTCATCCAGGATGACACTCAGGAATCTGCAAGAAGTAAGAAAAGCTCCTGGAAGGAACACTGATATCTGGTAGGGTTGTCAACTTTGACTGAAGCTATTCTGAGAGACTTTTTTTTCTCTAACGTGACATAATATACAGGCAGTCCCCGGGTTACGTACAAGATAGGGACTGTAGGTTTGTTCTTAAGTTGAATCTGTATGTAAGTCAGAACTGGCGTCCAGATTCAGCCGCTGTTGAAACTGATCAGTTTCAGTAGCAGCTGACGCCAGTTCCGACTTACATACAGATTCAACTTAAGAACAAACCTACAGTCCCTATCTTGTACGTAACCCGGGGACTGCCTGTATATTATGTCTGAGGAGATGATGGTATTTTTGCAATCCTTGCATACCACTGAGAAATGTACCTTCGTGTTCCTTTCTTTGTCCTTATTTCTGCCACAAAACTTGAGTAAATTGGTGACCATCCCAGCAGTACCTTAATGCAGCATCAGATTCCTCTCCTAGTCTGCTGAACAATTTTGACTTTTGGCTTTTACATGCAGCACTGGCACCCCTCTTCTATTTAGAGACTAGGCCAGAGTGGTCATCAATAACATTTCACAATGTTGCCTTTGCCTTAATCAACATTTACTGCAGTTTTTTGCAGTATTCCATGTGTACACTGATGATCTTCTTAATGCTAATTACTTGCAAAGAGCAATTGCCATTTTAATGGCAACCACTGTGAATTACTTTGTCTTATAAGAAAATTAAAATCTAAGCATCCATTTTGTTTGTTCTAAAATCATTTTGAAGCTTTAGTTTATCTGTTCTTTGCAAAACACTTAATCAAAGGCAGGGAGATGATCTCTAATGACCTTTGAGTTTGGTGGCAAAATTTTAATAAAGGGCTCGCTAGATCTATGGGACACCTACCTCTTCCAGCACATCGCTGGATTAATGGGTGATCT